GCTGGTCTTGAACTCCTGACCTCAGGTGATCCACCTGCCTCGGCCTCCCAAAGTGCTGGGATTACAGGAGTGAGCCACCACATCCAGCCTGACTCCTCCTTTCTTTAAATCAGAGGTCAGCCAACTACTGCAAGCTGATAGTCCAATCCAGTATGTTTGTAAATAAAGTTTTACTGAAACACATTCCACTCTCACGTATTTATAAATTCACTCTGGCTGCTTTCACGATACAATGGCAGAGCTGAGTAGCTGTGACAAAGACTGCATGGCCATAAAGCTGAAAATATTTACTATTTAGCCCTTTGCAGAAAGTTTTCCAACCCCTGCTTTAAATCCCTGCAGAAATTAATTTGTAACACTAATCTTAATCTGCCATGAGTTACAGTTATGTATATATTTTCCTGTCACCATCACAAAAACTGTGAACCTGAGGGTAGAGATTGAGCCCTTCTTAGCTCCATAGCCCTGCCCAACACCATGCCTTGCTCATCGTGAAAATTCACACAATTAATGTGTTAATTCAACATTATCTCAAAAAAATGAAATTTGTTGATAATTTTTAATGTAACATCTTCACTAGAACTATAATTAATCATTATAAAAACCAAACCGAAATTGAAATTTTTGACTACCATCTAATTATTTCAATTAATTAATAAAAGCTTCAGTGTAGCAATCCACACCTAACTTAAATTGCTTATAAAAAAAATACATTTTCAAAATAATATTTTTATTGTTGAAAACTACTTTCTTAGAAAAAATAGACAAAGGTCATTTGGAAACAAATCTACATGTCCCCCATATCTAAAGAGACAAAGTTATTGGCTTAAATTTTTGGGAAAGCATTGAAAATATTATTTCCCATTCTATTTCATTAAGCTGAACTTACTGCTATGGACTAGAAATAAATATACCAACTTACAGTGGCTGTGAAGTTGAGAGATGGCTTCAAGACTGTAGTATAATCAAAAAATTCAATGATGTAATCATGTTGCTTGAAGAACACATTAGTGCTTGCATTTCTTGCAATACCTTTTTCGGAAATTGCACGATTTAGAAAGCAAAAGTAATGTTTCACCAAAAGCTTCTATCCACCAAATCTCTCCATCTAACCTATTGCCAAACGGGTTTAAAATATCAGAGCACATAAGCCTCGTTCCCATATTGGCTTTGACACTACAAGCACCACACAGTTCTATTATGTTCTCTATGGATCCTTCTAAGCACCATTGCTGCCATTCTACCACAGTGACATGTACAACAGCAGCAAATTAAGGCCAATGAAAGAATAGTCTTTTGCTCTTTCGGGGATTGGCTAACGCTGTTGAAATAGTAACAGAAAGGTCCAAGAAACTAAACTTTATTTGCATATTAAAAGTGAGAACTGTGTAGAAGCAGCTGAGATTTCAGCGAGTTTAAAAAGAAGGTAACCAGCTGAAAATGTAAGCCTTTCCATGTAGTTTTCAGGGGGAAAGAGTAGAAATGGGAAAAAAAAAAAAAAAATTACAAAGAGCTATCACATGTGGTTGAAGTAGTGACTTCCATAGAAAATAAGGTCCCCCATTACAAAATCATCCTGCAATTTAGACTAACAATCATAACAATCTCAACATTAAATAGCATCTTTAGAAAGCCAGTGATGCTCCCAAATGAAAATGCCAGTTATAATAAGAAAGATGATAAAGCAGCGTCACATAAATGGTTTTACCTTCACTTTAAAGTCTACAAACCTGTAAGTGATTCTGTCACTGTGGCTAAAATTTCTACCGGTCCAGGGGCAGCTAGATCCAGGTGTTCAGAAAGTCCATTTGAAGAATCCATTATATTTTTCATCTCTTCATCATTAAAAGAGAAGTTTACAGATCCATTTATCTGTTTTGTTTAAAAGTTCAGTATTATCATTTTAGCAATTCAAATTTTAGAAATAAAACTCAAACTAAGTCACAAAATATGTTAGCTCTAGTACCATTTTAATCACTATAATTGCGTAAATTTTCA